AAATAGTTCAATTATGTTTGCATCAATTATGTTTGCAATTAAACGCGTCCCACCGGGTGTGCCAATTTGTTTACGGTGGAATTTGTTTATGGATTCTTTTTATTCGAACTAGCACGACAAACGTTTCAATTTAGGTATATTACGTTTTGAATTTTGAGGAATAAGAAAACATGGAGTAGAGAGATTAATAATTACTTGTTTCTAAATATTCATCAATAATTAACAAGTAATAATTTTCATGCACATAAATACTCAGATGAACAGAATGAACAATACATATATTTGCAATACAAATCATGTTCACATCACCTTAATGAGTTACAATTATAAAGTTATATGACTACTTGATTAAAAGAAGAAAAGATAACTAAACTAATCCTAATCCTAAAAAGAGAAAACAAAAGTGGCCAAGAAGTGGTCATACCCAGAAACAATTCCTTGCACGAAAAGAATGGCACAACCCAAGAGGGAGGGGGGGTGAATTGGATTCTATGACTCTTTAAAAATTATCACTTCATTTACGTCTGAAAATTTAGCTCGTTAAAATTAATTAACGTAGTGCAGTTGGAGACAAAACGTTCTCCTTGTTTAAATGAATGAGATAACTAAGTAGACAAACAACAACACTGTCGTTTGGAATCCTCTCTTGAAAAGGCAAATCTTTCTCCTAATATTAATGCACGTAATACAACAGCTTACGTGGAGTTGACCAAAGGACGCCACGTCATACAAATCATAAGGGAAACAAAAAAAATAGAAAATATTCTTCTGTTTAAAAAAAAAAGTCTTATATCTTTCCTCTTTTTTAGAAAACGTACTCCCTACGTTTTACAACTTTGAAACTCAAAACCCTTCACCTCCCCCTCAAGTCTCTAAACCTTAATCTCTCACCTCTAAAACCCTTTTTCTCCATTGCAATGGCCACACAAATTGGAAAGCTGTTGATGTGAACATTCCAATAGAAATGCACGAAGCTACCAATTGTACCCACACTTTCTCTACAGAGGAAAAGTCAGTCATGCACTTAGAGCACTGCTTTGACATTAACAAAATGCAGGAATGGGGAATACCTATCTATGAAGATTTCGCCAAATGTGGGATCCTTGGTGATGGCATCCTTACTTGCATGAACTTGAGATGATGAGCAAGGAGGAGGACGCCTTCTCCAAGGATCAAGTTCTTCAAAGGTGGACCAAGGTTTTAGGGTGGATGATGATGGAATGGACGAAAATGAAGGTTGGGTAGAAGGTGTTTGAGGAAATGCTTGAGAATGGTACTCTAGGGTTGGCTCACTTCATGATGATGAAGGCCACTTCTAGGGTTGTTTCTCTCAAGGTGGAGATGGTAGGGTTTGGCCGAAAATAGCCAAGGGTGACTAAGGAAAGATATAAAGGCACTAAAGGCTCTCTTTATATTCAATATCCAAAGTATTTACAAGGTGTGGGGTGTTGGGTATTTATAGGAGGGGAGGCATCTAGGGTTGCATTTGGAGTAGGCAAATGCATTCCAAATGAAATGCAAATGAACCCTAGATGCAACTTGGTGGCCAAGGATGGAATCTTTGGGTTTAGATTGGCTATATCTAGGTGCATGATAAGACCATGCAACCTTTGCCCTCCACTTGGGCCTAA